CATTAGAAATGTTTTCATCTACGTAGCGATAGAATAAGATAAAAAGACTTTCCACCATAGATTGCGAATATTTGGTTTTGTGATATTAGACATTATTAATTTCATTTTTATTGAATAATTTTATATTTACATTTAATCTTTTTAGTTTATTACTACTAAATACTATATAAAAAAGAGATTATGATCTGGAAAATTAGAAAGTTTTATTTTTTAATCAAAATATTTAAGGATTTAATTGAGATTTGAAATAAATATTATTTGATTAAAAATGAGTGCTTAACATAAAAAGCTTTTCGAACTTAAACAAAAACAAGGAGTAGTCTCCTTTAATAGAAGTTCTCACATATTGCTTCCATTAAGTTCTCTGAAATCACAACAAACAATTTCAGATGTTTAGGTTCAACTAGGCTCCCTTAGAACCCTCCCCGATATTAACTCAAGTCCTAAGATTGAAACCCAATCGAAATGGTCAAAATTATAAAAAATTTCCTAAACTTTCAGATCCCCAAATAGGAACCTCGTAATGCCTGCTAAAAGGAGTTCCATATAGAGAATGTCAATTTCATAGTAGTTTAAAAATGTGGTTAAATTTACAAGTTCAATGTACGAATTTCAAATAAATCATAGATAATTTGATGGTCTTGATGCAGCCAAGAATATTGTCAAAAACAGCGATGCAGTAGTGGTGAAGATGTAAAAGACCCAGAACATTGACTATCTAGCAGTAGGATTAGGAAATAGTCATGGTAACCAGGGTTTAAATTTTTCGAAAATAATCACTCATTGTGCATTAGACTAAATAGTGCATGCCATCAACGTCATACCCATAATTGGATTGGGGTTGTAAATACAATAAAGTTTCTAAAATATCTACTAGAAAGTGGAACAAAATCTGGTAAATATCCATTTTTAACTTTTAGATAGAGTAAACCGATTTTGATGTAAAGAACAATGGGTGTTCATTATTATCACTGATTGTTGTCAATAATACCATATACTGTGCCAATTTAGGGGATTCCAAGGCTGCCTTTTTCTATAGAAAAGATTTTGATCCGAGTGGACCAAAAGAAATCAGAAAGTTTGTCTAGAAGAATTTAAATTTTGTTCATGACACGAACAATAGTAAAGAGGTGCAAAGGATATTAAACAAAGGTGGCAAAATAGATTAAGCAGTATACAAAGGGAAGAAAGTGTGGGAATTTGAAGGTGTGGGTACTAAATAAAATTAACCTGGTGTCAAATTGACAAGATGTTTTGGTAATTTGATTGGCAAGACAGTTGGAATGAGTGCTGAACCAGAGTTTTCAGAGTTTAAGGTTCCTAAATCAGGATACTTATTGATTGGATCAACAGGATTATGGGAAATCTTGGATGTTTTAGTCATCGATTAAATTTTAGATGCTCATTTTCCTCCAACTTGCTAGGAGGACATTGATTTAGCAATAAAATAGATAGGTGACCAAACAAAAAAATATTGGGATTAAGATGGAGAAGGCTTAATTGATATCTCTCTAATTTTGATTTATATATAAATGTGATATTTATATATAATTATGATTGACAAAGATACTTCACCCACTTCTATTTCAACGAAACCTATCTTCTTAGTAAACCTCCTAATAAGGCATCTAATCAAACTTTTGATTCTCAAAATATTTGTCCACACTTTCCCTATCTAATCCTTTCGTTTCAATCACTTTCTATTGGATGATCAAGTAACTAGTATGCTAATTAAACTGTAAAGATACGCTGCAAAGTTAAATATGGAGAATATGCCAAAACAATAGGATATATCGTATGATGCTATAATCGGAAACATCTAGGCTACTAATCCTCCCGACATCCAATTCATTAAACTACTGGCACTCACTCCCAAATCTGGCAATATTTCAGTCAAATAAATAAATAATAATGGGCCCAAGGAGAATCCAAAACCAAATAGATAGGAGAATATACAAATCACTATCAAATACGATCCATATGATGTATCCCCTATGCTATTGGACATTACAAATGTCAGCATCAATAAACTTACACAGCACCATAGGGTTCCATATTTTTAAGAATTGGCTTTCTAATTTATAATTTCTTATTAATCATACCTTCCAAATTACTCGATTATTACAGTTGGCTAATAAGGCTGTAAACACTCCAATAAAGCCAACTATTAAATTTAAATAAAACACTTTCTTTGCTGCTTGGCCAGTCACCTAAGTTGATTCATATAGTATATACTTAATCAAATATAGAAGAAGAATAAAACATAATCCCATTTATGCCTCCTAACTGTTGTAAAGAAGCAAGAGAAATTCCGATAATCAATCGACTTCTGTACTTTGAAGATAGTAATTGATTTATAGTCATACTCCTTTCTGTTGATTTTTGTGATTATTAAAATTATTCATACATTTTCTCTGCTTTTTCTTCGTATATCATTTCCACAACTTTATGTAATTGCTAACTTTGTTTTGATTTTATTGATACTTTAAATGATGTTTAGCGCAATATACAGGTGTTTCATATTTAAACACAGTTGACAATGCACTAGCTCTTATTATACAAGGTATCATAGGTAGATACAGCATCAATTTATAAAATGGGATAGGCAATGATGCATCTGAAAATGAGGACATCAAAAATGTAGTCAATATTCCTAAAGTTATAAATAGTTGATTCATTGTTCCCAAGATGCCTGCTTTCTCCTTTGGTGACATCTCGTTTATATAAACAGGTACTAGGACTCCATTAAGTCCTAATACAAGTCCGACAAAGAACCGAGAAGCCAATAGTAAGTATCTGCTCTCATCCATGAATGCTATCATTATTGCCATCATTCCAAAGACATCGGTTATCTGGAGACACTTTCTCCTGGAAAACAAGCCCATCAATATTGATGCTGATATGGAACCTACTCCTCCTCCTATGGTTAATAGGGCTGAACGAAAACGGATATAATTTTACATTGCATCAGACCTTTGGTAAAAGTATCATCAATTTTATAGACATTATATACTTCTGTACTAATCACATTCATCTGACCCAAACAGAACCCCATAAATAAACTACCCAAACAGCAATTCAGAATTATGAGCAATAATTTATTCATTAAAATAATGTATACTAATTAAAGTGTGTATATTCCAAAGGCAATCGGTGTTAAAGAATATGCTTATGATGAAGAGATTAATATACCATACAGATAATAGATGGAAGATTGTATGGACTGAATTTCATTTAGTTTATTTTATCAAGGACAATATTTTAGAAGATGGGAGTCAATCTATTTTATTCGGAATCATGGATGGTCATGGAGGATAAACTGTTGCTAAGTTTGTATCCACTAACTTCCCCAAAGTTTAACATTCATTAACTATCCCAAGGTTTTTCTTCAGTTACACAAACAAAAGCAAAGACCATTTGATAAATTACTTTAGGATACATTTGAAAAAGTATAAAAAAACTCATTTTAAGGTCAATGAATTGGTTAAATAAGAATGCAACTCAAATGAGATGGGCTCAACAGCTAGCATAGGCTTTATGAGACTTGAAGGAGCCAAAAGGGTGTTATATTTTGCAAATGTGGGAGATTCTAGAGCATTTCTATTTGGCGATTAAGTAGTCCCATTAACCACCGACCACAAACCTAATAAATAGGGGGAGAGAGCACGCATACTAAAGCATTAGGGAACAGTCTTAATGGATCGTTTAAATGGAATTTTAGCAATATCAAGAGCTTTCGGAGATCACAGCTTTACTTAATATGGATTAACTTGCACTCCAGATTAAGTTAGAGTAGAATTGAGACTTTCTCATAAGTGGGTGGTTGTAGCATCAGATGGTTTGTGGGATGTCGTCAATGAATAGGTATCAAAATGATTTTTGATTTCAATAGGAATTGTTATAGTTCATTAGATACAAAGAATCTGCTGATGAAGTCACTAAATTCTTATAGAAATTAGCACAAAAAAGATAGTCAAAAGACAATGTATCAATTTTGTGCCTAAAAATTCAAATTTGATTTATATAATATATTTAGTATCAATTAATTTCAATATATATCTGATAAATAGTAAATTAAATATTTTTGCTATAATTTTATAGGAATATTCAAGTTTATGAACTATCTTTTAATCCAAATAGGCATTTAAGTATGTTCATTTATTTTGTCTTTTGATTTTACATCTATCAAACTTGAATCAATCTGTTAATTTTAATGAAGATCGAAACTCAGATTGAATATTACATACCAAAATAAACTTTTTAGTAATTATTATTTAAATAAATTCTTATTTCTAAATACTTTTGTTATTTTGCTTCTAATCTTCAATACTTTAACGATTATTTGATATTACATAGCGATATATTTCTTTATTCAAGACTGATGTATTTCTATAATACTAAATGCATATTTGATGATGATAGGAATATTCAAATATCCTTCATTTACAAGTAGCTTATAATGATATATAATGGTTATCGTAATCAACATCTTAAAAAATTCTAAACGATTGTAGATGTTTCCGTTTCAATACACTTATCCTCGTTTGATTCATAAATAGAATGAATATAGAATTTAATATTGAATGTGATTTTAATAAATATTCTGCTCTAACATTATTATATAGATAGTTTATAGATAATATGTAATATGGAATTTTAATAATATATATAAGTTTTTTGGAATATCCACATTAAATTATTTGACTCGAAATGTTAAAATTTGTTAAAACACCAAAATATGCTCGTTGGATAAAACTTGGAATGATAGGATTCTCTATCTTAGCAATCAGCCTCTCCATTGTATTTTTGGTTAACATTATTACTCCTTTTGGAAGATTGACAATATCTTCTCCAGCAAATAGTTTCGTGGAATTAATCTTTTGTATTTTTGTCTCGATAAGCTTGATACTGAGATTAAATGATATAATGAATTATAAACAATAAGTACCGTATAAAATTGGACTGGAGATTATTATTGCTGCAATAGGAATACTTTAACTAATAGATTTTATTTGCTGGTTCATTAATCCTGTTTCTGATGTGCTGGCTGCCATTATCTGTTTATTTACATTTTTTATTGCAGGTTTTCATTTTGGGTTATGGATTCTCTAGAGAATTGAGAACAACAAGAAAGTATAAGAATTAGACGATCATTTGACATAATAAATTTAATATATTGAAAACTAGGGCTCCATCTAAATCCCATAAACTTCAAAATGTAAGTTAGTTCTAGAATACATTCTATATTCTTTTATGTTAGTCTTAGTAATCTTAAATACATGTTAAATAATTCATGAAGCCAATTATCCAAACAGTTTGGGTGAAGGTGAGTAATTTTACACTGTTGAAAGTTAAGGTTATGATGTGAAAATCAGAACGTATTGTACTGGGGTTAAGAATTAACAATAGATTATTCTAGAGGCTGGAGGAGGTTCTGGTGGATGTGATTTTTCTGAAATACAAACTCAACTTTCCAAAAATTACAGAGTTTGTAGTTATGATAGAGCTGGATATGGAATGAGTTGGTAAGCAGCTGCCCCATAAAATTCTAAAAACGCTATGATAATTGTTCAATAAGTGATGGAGAAGGTGGGATTTAATACTTCAGTTCCAAATTCCATAATTTGTGTTGGTCATTCTGCTGGAGGATAGCTGTGTCGTTATTATGCATAATAAATGGCAAGCATAAAAGGTATTGTGTTATTAGATTCAGTGCCAGTAATGAATTGGTTTTACTTGGCAGGATAATGTTAGAATCAAACTGTAAGTTAAATTTATGCATAATAATAATCGACTTTACCTTTGATTAAGACTATGGCTTCCTTATGGCCTTTGTATATAATAACTCCATTCATGTCAAAGGGAGGATTTAAACCATCTAATCTATAAGGCTGGGTGAATTGGTAAATTACTACTACAAGGAATTGGTATTCGTAATCACTTGGATATGCATCTGAACTTGAGGAATGTTAGGAATAATGCATGGAGTCATCAATCATAAATCCGGAGTCCATGATTGACAAGCCAATTATCGTTATTACTGCTTCTAATTAATCAATAACTTGTGAGGATAGAAATTTAACAGGCACTGATTGTCAAAATTATTACTGCTAATAGAATGCCTCAATGAAATTAGCAGTCAATTAGTCGCTTCTTGGTAATGAAGTGAGCAAATATGTTGAATGCCCAGGTATTTGTAATCACGATTTTATATGGAAATAACCAGATTTTATAGTTTAACAAATTGAGTATTACATCCCACTATTTTGATATGGTTATTTATAAATTATTCATTCTTATATTCAAGATAGTATTATTGTTTAAATGAGGAATATGAAATAATGTAATAATGATATAATGCTCATTTCTATTTGCTATTTTTATAATCTTATCTTAGCTTTCTGTCTCTTCTCTAGATGATTTCAAGTCTAGTTTTTTCCCTATACTTTAGAGGTAATGCATATACTCTTAAGCTCCATCTAAATTATGATTCGACAATTCAATAAGGTCGGTTCTGAATCTGCAATCACTGGGCAATGGGGATTCACTTTTGATGATATAGGCGGGATCTATCTTTTCCAAATCCCAATATTTGATTCCATCCCAACTAATGGATTCTAGCCAAGAACCTTCAACTTTGGATATTACTCTATTATGCTAAAACAAGGTCCCCCTATAAATGAAATGTAAATTAAATACTCAAAGTAATCAGTGGGCTTCTAATTTCTCCCAATTAACATACCTGCACCTTCAGAAAACTTGATATCACAAACAATGTCATTCTTCTGATCAACAAATTTGATACTGCCATACCATTCCAACAAGCGAGCACCATAAATTAAACCACTGACTTTAGCAGGAGGCATACTAAATGTAATCCTTTATCCATCACTAAATTCTACGGCATTCTCCCCAACTTGATGACCAATAACAGCATTATATCTCAATGCAGCCTAATACTCAAAGTGACCATAAAATCTATATTTCTTCCTGAAATGCTCAATATAGAAATGAGAGATAGGAGGATGGTGACTAGTATGTTCAATGGAAATGGATGATCCATCTTACCATGAACCTTAGAATGTTTCACCTAAAATAGGATTAAATGGTTTCTTCTATCTGCCTCCATTGTATAGTCCAGCTATGATCATTGTGACAACAAGTTTAAACCTCTCTTTCTCATCTTGTTATCCTATAGCATACTCCATGTAAATAGGCATGAAACCCCAATAGTCACATATCCTTTCAATCATGGATCTAGGTTCAAAAATACGAACAGGAAGTGAGAATGAAATGATATTTCGACCTTCAAATAGTTATCTGCCTGCCGATCTCATTAAATCTAATACCAATCCATCCTATGCCTTAGTTTCTTCCTTGTTGAAACATTCAATTCCTCCCTCTTTAAATCTTCTATATCCTGGAACTCGTTCTTCCAGTCTTTTGCTTTTGAGTTGCTATCCATTCTTCAATAATGTGATAGAATTTATTTATTCATCAAATCCTACAATAGACTTTGATTTCTGTCGAATATAGGTGGATGAGAGTTCACTTACAATGGATTGTTGGAACTAGTGGAATCTTTCTTCATCAATGGTTTATGAAATCAAGCTTAAGTTCTCTGCTTTGTTGTATAAGTATTTTTCCTAATTCAATTAATGATGCCAATTACCAATTCGGTTGTTATTTTGGAACACGTGATCTCACAATAATAATTAATTAGTCCTTTGCCTGAGACCTTGGGAATTCTTTGAATTTCGTATGCTTCGAACATATTAAACTTGTTGTTTTCAGAATTCAAGATATCGACAATGAAGGAGCTACCATTGTTTATGATGAATCGATATCTCAATAGGTTCATTTGAATGATGACTGGTTTTGAGACGACTTACTTTTGTCTAATGGGATGTATTATAAAATGAACCTTAGCTCTTTTCTAATATAAATTAACAAATTTACAGTAAATTCTAATTCGTTGCTATCCTTTATTTTATTAATCTAAACAAAATTGCTGTCCAAGACCTTTTTAAACTTCAAGTTCTTAATTATTCTAAATGCCTTTGATGAATCTATGTCACAAACCATCCTCCCATAAACGCGTATGGTCTACGCCTTTTGCTTATTAAAATAAGAGGCAGACAAGCCTGCAACCAGAAAAGCCATCAAAAACGGTAACCAATTAGGTTTCAGATAGACACTAATAGCGAATGCAATACTCAAAAGTAGATATAGCTTCCAATTCAAGGTGCTTTTATTTTGGATAGGACTCTCGTATATTTTGACTCCATTTCTAAATTTGCGAAATTGCCATTGATGTTGTAAATCATCAAGAATTGTCAATATTTTATGTTTCGATAATTCCTAAGGGAGAGTGTCAGTCAATAGGTAGGTGTTAGTAACTACAAAAGAGGGTCGCTTTTCTGCTTATACTACTGCTGTTGTGGCTTGGGAGATCTCTTCACGCCATTGTTCAGTTTCATCCAGAGTCTCACCGCTGAAATAGAATTGTTTATTATTTTAGGCCTCCACCTCAATATAAAAGCAATGTTCCCTATCATCCAAAGTAGACATAGGTGAGATGTAGGCTTCCCTTAGATTGATGGCACCTCTGGGTACCTTATCATTTCTATCCTTAAAGTAAATTAAGGTTTGTCCATCTAAAACCAAATATCTCTGATTCCAATTGTAATCTATGGGTCCATCTCCTCGTTTCAAAATCATTCCTGCTTTTTTTCGCTGTATTTAGGGAGTTTTAGTTGGTGTTTATGAACTCGTAAGACTAACCTAGGATTATTTGACAGGAGTGGAGAATGTGGATTAGGATAGATTGGAGTAGTGCTTGAAGTACTTCTTCTTTAATCTAGATGTTGAATGATATAATATATTACTCTTTATACGAGGTCTTTTGTAAATCTTTGAGTGAGGTTATTTATTGAAAGAGATTCAATTTGACCTCTTGTTATTGCAAGAGAACTGTTTTATTCATTCTAAACAATTCAGAATCGTTCATGCTCTACCAAACATTGTAGGTGAGGAGCATGGACTTGTAGAAATACAATATGTACTTTCTTATTATTTCTGTTAAGAATTATGCAATTACATTTGACTCTTCTCCATATTAATAGATATTGATTTCAACATTCAAATTAACAGCAACAATGTTGGGACAGAATCGTTACCAATTATTCTTCTCCAAGATGCCAAAGTTGTCTCTCAATTTTCTCTCGACATCCTTTTCATAGCCCTTAAAGTAATCCAACTCTTCTGCAACCACATCAATCACTTGAGCAGCTCTATTCGAATTTGGACTTACTTTGGCAATTACTGCCACCTCGATTCCTGAAAATTGAACCACATTAAATATTCTCTGTTCACAATTTTCAAACGAGGTCTTGCGTTCCTGAATTTGAATCTATTTCTGATTTGTCAATTTCACCATGAACTCTGGTAAGTAATTGGAGAGGATGTACATTTTGACAATTGGTGACTTGCTCAATATCAATTTCATACTTATGATACCAATTCAACCTTTTACTAATTTTGCTTACTCAGATCGAAGTCAATCAGGTAGTCTACAAATTTGCTCCCCTTTTAGAAACTCTAAATAGGATGAGCAAAAAGTTTACTTCAGCACTAATTGGTAGTATCACACTATATTATTATTTCATTAAATTAATGGATGTATCAACAGAGAAAGTCAAATAAGGAACCAATCAAGAAAGCATGAGATTGTTGTCCTTGATCAAGAAAGATCTTTGTCAAAAACTCAAAAAACATCACTTCTCCCCTCCTTCATCACCATCCATATTGGAAGCTGTTAGATCCAAACCGTTGGTCAAAATAGAAAGGTAAAAAAGATCGCCAGTAGTTCAACAGATAAACGACCTAGATTTTGGTTACATGGAAGAATTGGAAAGGAAAAAAATGTTTATGATGATCAGACTCGGCCATCTCAAGGATCCTGCCCGATTACTTCCAGTCCATAATTATAATAAAATCTCAGTTCTTCCCCCAAAAAAGCGGAGGAAAAACAACAATACTCCTTCCCCAAACGTATCTCCTTTAAAAGCCATTTTGCATAATCCCAATGATATTTCATTACCTGCTTTAAGTACAAGAGTGCATGAAGATCCGTACTAAATGTGTCGAATACATAACACACACAAGCAGAAATTGGACTAGAAACAAAGGAGATTGAATGTTATCAATAAACGAATACTAAATAAATTCTCAATAGAATGAGTTTATCATCTAAAAATGTGATCATCCCCATCTTTTGAACCTCAAATTGATACTAATTTATTAATAATAATCTCTAATTATGCACTTTATTGAAAATTCAATATTATTACAAAATAAAAAGTAGTTGAGTTCAAAAAAAAGTCACGAAATCCTGTTATTGTCTCTTTTAGGAATCAATGCGAAATAAATCCTATTTATTTGATATTAGATTTTATATTTAAATAATATTATTTAATTAAAATGGGATCCACATCAAGATATACATTTACATTTGAAAAATTAGTAGAAGTCTCCTCCACTGATTTTCTTGGTCATTCTGTGGCTGGTACACTATTTGTGTTGGCCTTGATCACCCACCTCTTCAATTACCGTAAGGGTCTGGGTTTTACTTATTGGTGGTTTTTGGTAAATGGATATTTGATACATTTGTACATGGACGGATTGGCTGCTTACTTTGAATATTCTAAGACGTACTCATTTCTTATTATTAATTTAGGACTCATTACCTCTATTCTCAAATGGATGCAAGATTCCTGAGAGATGACAAGATGGTTGCTATTGTGTCATTGGGTGAGACCTTTGTAATGGGACCATTGTGCATAGTGATTGCATTGCTCTATAAGTCGTCAAAGTTCGAGCATAATGTATCTATTTAAATAATATTATTAAGTTATTAAGAGAAGTGCTGATCCTGGTAGTTTCTTCAATTCAAATATGCGGAACAATAGTATTCTGTGCTTAGCCTATATGGGCTGGCTTCATTGAATAATGTGGAGCAGAGGGATGTTTTACCTTCTCTATTTACAACATATTCTTTTTCTGGTTCTCCTTTGTGTTTTGCGATTCCATCTGGATCTGGTAGCCAATCAAGGAAATCATTAAATCTTATAGGAGATTAGAACTATTAGTCAAGCCCCAGCCATAAAAAGTAAAGAAGAATTGAACTATATTAAATGTGCATGTGATTATTAAAGAAATATTAATATTTTAAATGGAGATATTTGATTTTAGCAAACCAAAAAACATCAAAAAAGTCAAAGCTGGTATATACATGTGTTTATGGTCTTAGCGAAGAAGGTTCTTGCAAAAGCACCTGGAGTCAATAAATAATAATAGAATAAAGAATATTACGATTGGGCATTAGAGAGAATAACTCAACTATTGATGGAACATAATCTTCCTTTAGCCACACCAACCAGAAAGCTACTTGAAAGACCATAGATTTGGTTGTTGGGACCAAAAAGAATTTTATGGAGGAATTTTGTACCATTTTGCAATGAAATCAATAGAGAAGTTTAACATGTCAGCCAATACTTTTTCCTTGAATTGGGTACTGAAGGGTATTCTATAAACATATTAATTTAGATCAATAGCAGGTGAATCATTGATTATTAGAAAAAAGTTCACAAGTACTAAAATTGAAACATTAATAAAATAATATTTGAGTAATCATTAAATAATAAACCTATTTAGAGGAATATGTCTTATGCTCAATGTGTAGAAGCTTAGCTACTTCTATAATGAAGGATGTTGAGTCTAGACTCTACATTCAAGAATGTAAAATTTGTATGGCCACTAAAACAGTGCCAAAACTAAAGATTTCGAATATGGAATAGATATGAACTTTTAGTGGTTGATTTATTTTAATTTCTTTTTCTTTTTAAATATGATGAAGAGTCTTGATTTTGTCTAGAGGGGTGCCTTCACTGACTGAGAGAATCAATTGGGCATCTGGTTAAATGAGTCGAGAAGGTTCCCCTGTAAAAGACCTTGAGGTTTCCACAGTCTTGAAAAACTCCTTGCACTTGATTTGTCTATAATTATTCTTTTTACTAGGTTTATTAACTTTGATATTATTAATAAGATGAATTAAAAATCAATCTATAAATAATGAAACTTTAAAAGTAACTCAAACAAAATAGAATATCAATTAATAAATATATCATTATAAAGTATCAAATCTCTCTAATAACTACTTTTTGGTCATTGATCTAATTTCCAAATAAGCATCCATAGTAGGATCTAAAATATAATAAAATATATATACCAATATTAGAATTCATAAATTTATCAACTTACAATGCATCTAAGACTTAGACACAATGGGATAAGAGGGTTTTTTCTTAATTGGTATCTAAGAAAGCCACATAATTAGATTATTTGATTTGGTTTACATAGTTCTTAATATTCTATCTATAATTATCTCTAATTTCTAGGGATTAGGCATCTAATATCACTTTGTAATCTTTTAATCCATTATTCAATTAATCAACTTCCTTGGCAATAGTTTCAACCAATCGTGTGAATTCAAAGTTGGATTATAATCGATTATCTTATGACTATTTGAGGTGGATCGATAATTTGTTTAAACTAAAGTACTCAGTAGCAGTAGTGCATTGGTTTTTGATAACACTTAACAATTGTTGCCCTCTGTTATTGGCCAACAACAACAGATAGTATGCTATTAGTGGAGATTCTTTGTTCTGTGACTATTCCAAAATAGTATGGGCAGTTGAACACATGAATTAGACTTTGCATCTTTCATTGACGATCTCTTACAAGATGCTTACATTATTGGTATTACTATTAGATGGCTATAGAATATTCTGCTCTGGTTTATCCGAATAAAGATCCAAATCTCCACTAAACTCCCCATCACTTTTTAAAGGAATTTTGAATAAGTATTCCCAAGTGCATCGTTTAGTTGGATCTTTAATGAGCATTGATTTCAGCAAAGTGATTGTTTATTTTGTAAAATGAAATTGGGGAGGTATCACCCAATCGGATTCATCTTGAGCGGTAATTAATTTAGCAATGGATTTCTCTTCGAATGGACACTTACCTATCAATAATTCATATAGGACAGCTCCCAGACTCCAGATATCGGCCTTACTATTATAGGAAAGGCCTCTGAGGACTTCTGGGGCCATGTATATTGGTGATCCCAACATGGTGGCTGTAACATCGTTTTTGATGGGTTTACAGAATCCAAAATCTGCTAATTTGTAAATTCCATTGTGGATTAAAATGTTTGATGGTTTTAGATCTCGATGAATGATTGAGTTTTCTCTAAGAACCTTAAATGCTTGAATTAATTGATAAATTATCTCTAAGGATTTTCTCTCTGTAAAGTGTCCTTACAAAAGCAACAATTTATCGAGTGGGCCTCCTGAACAATATTCATAAACGAAATGATATTGATGAGTTGCTTTAATTAATTCAATGAATTTAACAACATATGGACAATGTTAAAGCTTTTAAAGCACTTCTATTTCTTGCATGCTCAATTCAAGTAATTTAGGTGTTTCATTAAATTTGATCACATCGACACTTTTAATGGCAACCACCGTCTAAGTAAGAAGATTGGTTGCTCTATAGACCTTTCCAAACTCGCCTTGTCCAATTTATTCATGAACCTTATATTATTCAATCATTTTTTTAACAGTTAAATTAATAAATCAAAACTATATTGCTCATTTGAATTACTTAATTGTGTTTCAAATTATTAGAGTATATTCATAGTAATAGGACTGACCTTCTTCATCTATTCGGCTAATTCATGCAACTCTCTCAACCTCAAAGACCAAATGATGATCTGAACAGCCTTGTCTATTGTCAACATTTCATCATAATTGTCAACTATGTACTTTTATAATAATGCTAAATTGTGTGGAATAAAGAGTAAAGTAAAACTAGTTATCAAGTAAGATCTTTTGACTTTGGTTAATTGATACTATTCTACCAAGAGTTAATAGAGCATGGATTATAATTATTGTTTCGTTTGATTATTTGTTGTTAAGAAGTAGAGATAATGTGCTAAATTTGAGGGTTGTTCATACACGAATAGCCAAGGATTGGTGGGTAAGAAGGCTTCGAATTGACTAATCTATTCTTAGACAACTGCATTCCAATTGGAATCCTTTATGAATTGCTTAATTTCGTTCTAAAGTTCAGATTAACTTATCATAATTCTGTATATTAATATTTAATTTATGAATGTTGAAACACAGAGCAGTTTATATAACAAATTCAAAGACTTATTAGATACATTGAAGTATTATCAATCTACATGCTAGAAATAAGGAAAAGCCCCCTGTTGTCTTTACGCTTCATGAATTGAATTGTAATGACACAAAACAATTTTTTCAAGTAACTGCGGAACTCATCTCATCCGGCATCAATTTCGTTATTGCTAAAGTAACACTTAAGACAATTATTTAAGTAAATTGACAAGAGAATGTGGCACATTCTTAAGCAATAAATCGATATTGAATTAAAAAGCATATCTCCAGATGTAGAAGAAGAAATTTAACAATTTTACGATCTTCGAATAAATTTCCTCAGATCTATTATCAAAAATCTGACACAATCACATTAACTAGGAGGATTGAATAATGATAATGAATTCAGATAGTTTTTAGCTAATTTATACTGCTATGCAGGGGAATTACACGAACATCTTGGTAGGAGATTAGAGAAGATGAATCAAAAGCCTAAAGATAATTACAAAATTGCTGATTTGTTCTTTAATAAGGCAATTTCTATTTACCCTTTTTAAGGAAAATACTACTTCTTGATAGCTACCTTAATGAGGTAATTTTAAGACACGTTCAATGCAGTATGTAATCTGCAAAAAGCCTATTTTGCTCAAATACCCTACAATTGCAAGGAGAACATGAATGAAGTCTTTGAAATAAATAGGAGCCACTTCAACGATTGGGCTAAACATGTCAAGCCTGCAAGTGAATTGGATAGGAATACATACTTAAGAACTTTTATGGTGTATTTAATAAGATTCAATACGATTGTTGTATGAAATTAGAATTAATTTAGTTTACTAAAATTGGGTTCGAAGAGTTGTCTTAATTAACTAATATGTTTTTTCATTTGCAAGAGTATTTCAATATCATCAAAACTAATGTACATAGTGATTATAAGCAATAATATCAATTGTTATTGAAAGTCATAATGATGACGAACTTTGGTTTGCACAACAGCATTACCACATTCTAATTGAAAACTGTTCAAGATATCAAGGATAATGATTTAGTGAGAGAGTCAATCAAATTTGTATATGGATTGTATGTCAACTCACTTGATTTTATATTAAAATATTTGCTTTAGAATTCTATGAAGAATTTAGATCAAGTACCTCCAGTGACATTTTTATAATTGGTAATTCCAATCATCTACTATTTATATGATTAACCTTTGATTTGTACATATTTTTTGTCTGAATACCCTAGTTTAAATGATAAATTGGCATAGATCTATTTATACTCAAGATAGAACTTGTATTAGGCAGAGAATATGAGTAACGATCTATTTTAATATCAAACTTAATTGAATGAGTAATTTCACAACTTTTTGTTTCCATTTGAAGTACCTTTAGTAGGATTCACTTGTTATAACCACGTACTATAGACATTCAAACAACAATCTTCAACCTAGAAAGATGAAGATACTTAGACATCGATAATATTATTTTATGTTTGCGAACAAATAATATAATAATTGCATGGCATTTAAATAAAGAATGTGAAGGAACAGAAGTGGGAAGAAGAAATTCCAAAAGAATTGATTAGGAAAAAAATAATAATTGATGGAATGAATGTGGCAATGAGATATGGATAGGAATAATCTTAGGTGGCAAAGTTTTGTTCGTAGGGATTGAAATGTGCCTTAGAATTTTGGGTTAAGAGAGGACATGATGTTATGATCATATTGCCTGACTTTTGTTTTAACGAGAGCGAGATAAGCAAGAAGAAGCTAACAAATGTAATTATTAGGTAGATATTCTTTAGTAAAACAATGTCAACAAATTGCCGGATGATGTCAAGTTGTTATTGGATATGAAGAATAAAGGGTATGCTTATGGAGTTCCAAATTGGAATTATGATGACTCTTATATGATTCAACATGCAAGAGAAAAGGGAGGGTTGATTTTGACCAATGATCGATATAATGATCACATTAGAGCTCTGGAAAACAATATTGTAGAAAGAGAAAGATTGAAGGAATGGATCAGAAACAATTGTATCAGTTATACCTTTCTATAAAATGAATTGGTTCCAAACCCTGATCAATTAAAGAGAATTTGATTATTATAATATGCATAACATAACATAAATTATGTAAAAAAATTAATAAGCAAAATTCTTTTTTTATGATGTACTTATAATTTATCAAATGTTATTGTTCAAATTTGATCTGGGAGGTTATTATTAAACTTATTGTGGTGCTGGGTGATATTAAGGATATTAAGGATATGATGGAATCACTCTTGATGAAATGATTGGGGCAGCATATTAGACTGGATAGGTCTAAACTGGTTAGACAACACTGACTGGTTATTGTACAAATTATTAAACAACTGGTTATGGTGCAATTGTTTAAACAACTGGTTATTAGACCACTTATTAGACGACTGGTTGTTGGACGACTTATTACTAAAAAGTTAATTTAAGTGGAAAGTACATGAACAACTTGTCTCTCAACTGGATAGTACTCAACTCTCTCTTGATATCTGTCGACTGGGACATACTCTAATAATTTAGTGGGGATTTGGAGTACCTGTGTATTTCTCTTGGAAAACTTATGGGACGTATTCTGTTTAATATTCAACTGCATAATAATCTGTGACTTTTCTTTCTCTTGGGACATATTGAACGACTTCTTATTCTTCATATTCCATGACAGCCTTTTAGTAGGGGACGTATTCGATTCTTGATTCTCCCTTGATTGTTGCCTAATTTGAATTTCAAATTTTTGTTTACATGGACTGGTTGTTAAACGACTGGTTGAGCGATGACTGATTATTGTAAAACTGGGGCTTAGACGACTGGTTGAGCGACGACTGGAGCCACTGGTCTGGCGACGCTGTATGTCAATGGGGCAACGGGAGCATATGCAGGTGCATATTATGCTGGATATGTGGCTAATGGAGCAGGGGCATATTAAGGAGCATATTAAGGGGCATATTAAGGAGCATATTGTGGTGCTTATGGATGATATTAAGGTGCTTGGGGTTGTTGAGGAGGTTGATCTAAAAATGTAGAGATTAATATTTTTACTTGATGGTGCGGGTGGTCTTTGAGACATTATTTGATAAAAAGATTTTTTCTTATTTTTATTTATATATCCATGCCATAAATTTTATTGCTTAAATATCCTAAACAAATAATTATAATTAATGTAGTTAAGAAGTATCTCAAATAAAAAAAAACCAAGTCAGTTGACTCAAACTACGCAACTCTTGGAGAAAGAAACCAAGCACATGGTAAATCATCAATCTAACAATTTCAATAGGAAGAGCAATTATAGCAACTTAAATAAATTATGCAATAAGAAAAATTTAAGAGGGAATCTGAAAAACCTACCGGACAAAATGGGACCAGATGGAAAGCTGCCAAAATTGACAAGGGATTGAGAAATTACACTCAAAATTTGCTTCAAAAAAAAAATAGTTTTGAAAAGAAATCAATACCCGCAGTTGTTAGACCAACCTCAGCCAAATTGCAACCTCTAGAAAAATCAATTAAAACACCAGCAATAGACAAAGATGTTGAAATATTTTTTACCTAAGTAGGATTGCTGCAATATAAAGAAAAATTTTAAAATTACACAATTCAAAGTTTAAGTATTTTTTATTTCTTATTTAGAGAGAATGTCACTGTGTAATAGTTAAGAGAAATGGGCATATTACCAGGCCATTAAATAAAAATTATGAGGGCATTAAAAGAAATGCCTGAAAATATATAATAAATGCAAGAAGACAGCTTCTGTCAAAGTAGAGTAAGTGTGTCAGTAAGTGGCGTATAATGTAATTAAGCAAAATTAGCATGCTGGTTGTGTTATAAGATATTTGATGATACCGAGATAAATTGCAATGGAAGGAACTTCTGTAGTTAACAATGTCTGATATAATTTAATTAAGAATATATGATCAAATGTTCAAAATGCAACAAGAAATTTTACAAGAACGATGGCTGCGTCGTATATGATAATTACTATTGTTCTCAATCTTGTAGTATAGATGCAAATGACTCAGTGAAAGGATGCAGTACAAATACTATAGAAAGCGTAATAGAAGAGGATTAATTTCAATAAACCAATTATGCAGAACAATTTAATGAATTCTTAACTTCTAGTTTATTAAATAATTGATCAATCATCCTCTGATTGTTCTGAACAGTCTTCTTTTAATTTCAATTCATTAAGTTAATATATCAATTTATCTTGATCTAAGTTTGATTTGCTTTTCATCTACTACACATCAGCCACATTGGGTTCCTCTAATTATTAAACAAGTTTTTTATCTGTTTCCCCTTCTGGCTATTGTTGCTATAATCGTTTGAGATCCTATAACTGCTATTTTTTTTTCAGTAACTCTCTTCTTTTTTTTAACCTCCACTGGAACTTGCACTCTTGGAACAAAGCAATTGTAAATGCGTCGAGAATGCGCAGTAAGATTCTTTAAATATAATTTATTTTTCTTGTATTCTTATTTTATTTTATCAAAGTTGATAACACTGTTAGTTTGCTTAATCCTCTTTTCAATTCCCTAGTATTAATTTATAGATAATACTTCATTATCTTCAATTAATTTTCTCATTTCTAATATTTTCTAACCTAAATTTGATGGTTTAATGGGTAGATCCTCATTCAAAGCATAAGACGAAGGTTGATTGTTGATAGTTAGGATTTTTTGCACCAATATTTTATTCTCAGTGTTTTCAGGATGTTTGATTTCGAGTAATTTTTTGGATGTTGAAGATTTGAGTTTCTTTTTGTGGAATGGTTTCTCTACATTCATTGGTTATTCTTTGATATTTTGGACTTGATTGACATGCTTGTTATATTACTACCATGAAATTGAATTCATACATATAGCAAATTGTACTCTGATATTGGAGTGATTATTTCATTTTTATTCCAAATATTAGTCATTAAAATAAATGGATAAGTTTGACACAATTTAGGGAAAACTGTTCTATACTGTCTATTGCATGCACAAGTCAAATGAGATTACTAATTATTAGAGAGGTAGAATCAAAGGTAGACAATCTATATTCATCACCTAGATATGATTGTCTAATGGGATCCTCAAATTCAAGAAATCATCAGAAATCCAAACAGGCTTAAACAGAACCTTCTCGAAATGGCATGTGCTTACTCGGACAACGAAGACTCTAAACAAACTAAAATAACTCAGAGGAGTATTAGTAGATTGAATGTAAGAATAGGACAAAGCAATTTTAAATTATCAAGCAAATCATATAGTTCATTATCATCGCCATTGGATTAAAGAAAACAGTTATTAATATGATAATAAATAATCAGATTAATTTTCTTTCTTAATATTTGTCAAAATTTTAGAGTATCTGCAGATTTTCTTGAATGACTGTTTTTACAAATCCAATCATGATATCATATCGCATTAGTACTTTTTTTCTTTATGGGTTTGGAAGGTATGATCTTCTCGCTTGAGTAGGTTTTCTGAGAGTGATTTTAAATGGTTTGTATCCATCTGAGACATCAGATTCGTCGTAAAACATAGATCTTTTTTTTCTTAATTAAAATTCCATTTTTGATGGTTCTTCAATAGTAGGAGTGTGAATGTGCATAATTCTGTCTTTGGTTACACGAGATAGAACCTATTGTTAATCAGTTTCAATGAATCCTACATCAGGTTCTAGATATCTTTCACTACCAATTCCTCCAAAGACTGCTATTTTTGAACTAAGTAAAACAGTTGAATGAGCACACCTTGGGATCTTGAGTCCTTCAGCTATGACCTATTACCAAAGGTTCAAATTGGGGTAGAAGATGTAATATTCATCTGATTCCAAAGTGCCATTCACAATGAAATCCCTTAAACCACCTATGACTGCTATGCCTTACACTTTCCTGAGATATTCAACAGTGTGATTGTGCATCGGATAAGGTGCTTTACCAAGAGTTTCCACCTAATCCCACGAAAGAGGTGTATTATTGGAGGAACAATAAGATAGTTTGCGCATAACGTTGACTGAATTCCCATCTGCATCTTTGCCTCCAAATGAATATATGTTATCTAATGGCATTATGTCGGTAGGTATAGTTTCTTGGAATTTGCCTTGAGATGAGATGTTGACAATGGCATGACAACTTATAGGAGGAGATTTGACCTTAAATAATCTCCACACCTACTTTTCCATATTGAAAACAGCAGTGTCAGATAGTACCTCTTCATTAGAGTTAATTCCTCCATACACAAGCATCCATTTTGGACCTAGGAGACAAGCCCTATGTTGCCTCCTAGGTTCAATATAGTCTCCTTGAGGATGAACCTTTTCCCAAGTCATGGTGCTTACGGTGTATTCATAAATAGAATTGGTGCATTCTCTAAGTTTTAGTTTAGGATTGAATTGACCACATCCACCAAAGTAGATAAATTTATTCTTGTATTGAACCACTGACAAGCCTGCTCTTCCTTGTTTAGGATGATCTCCATTCCCTTAGACCACTTGCCAGATCTGAAACTCTTAGGATAATCAAATCTATTTACTGATATCGTATTTGAGCATTTGATTTCTGACTCCATCTCCTCCGATTCCTCCATATAAATATAATTGATCATTGAAAAGAGTGAAAGCAGCCTGTTCTGTGAAGGAGGGCTTGAATGTCCTTATATCTCTGGTGAGACGTTGAGATTCGAAGTAGAAAGTAAGCTGGGTGGGAGTGTCCATGATTTATTCTATGGGTGCCTCCAATTTTGGAAGCTAGAACACTATTATTGTTGCAAAACGATGTACCCATTTGTTATGGCTTTAACTCCATGGCCTTTTTTGGTGATTGATCCCTGCGCTTGAGTTTTTAATAGTTCCTAAATTTGGTCTTTTGAGTCAGGAATAAGGCTTCAGTCATAGCATTTTCTTATCTTTCTCTGCTTTGGTTGATGATGGTTTCTCTCTATTTTTTATTGTGTTATAACTGGACTTGCAAACGCTCCTTTGGAGATGGTATTCTTGAGACTTGATGTGTGAATGCAGCCCTATATCAATCAATCATATACATTTGGGGCATTTCGGTAAATGTTTTGAAGAAGGTGCTTTGCGTTAGTGAGGCATTTTTCTCAAAGTGGATTATTTCTATTTGAGGTTGAACAGTTACAAGAGACGATGATCGTCTCATTGATTATTACTATTGTGGCAATTATTTCACTTTTTTCATTAAATGCAATAATTTTTATTGTTAATTAATGTTCAGCTTTTCGCCAATCAAACAGAAATAATACCTCAGTGCCTCAAACCAATTTGAACAACCTTTGGATGACATGAGTTGCATAATCGAAAACGGCAGCGTTGGATCCCTTTATTTAGGGAACATCGAGTCAGCTTGTACTTAATCTCATAAACCTTTAAAGCCAGTCTAGAAAACTTGAGGAGACACAAAATCAAGGGAGTTCTATCCATCTGCATGAATAAGATTCCCTTTGAAGTGTAGTCATCACTATAACATTACTCCCACATTTATTTGGAGGATTGTGAGTCTGAAAATATAGCCAGGCATTTTGAGAACTCCAATCAATTCATCGACAAAGCCAGGCAATCTGGGAATGTATTGGTTCATTGCATGGCTGGAATCTCTAGATCGGCTACTCTTGTTGCAGCTTATCTAATGAAGAAAAACAATATGAGTGCCCAAGATGCCATAAGATTGCTTGAAAGAAAGAGATGGCAAGTCTATCCCAACAGTGGATTCCTAAGACAATTGTAACAATATGAAAAGGTTTTATACTAATAAAATGGAAGATCTGACATCTCTTCTCCTCTCAGAGATTCATGGTCTAAGTAATTAGTCATCATTATAGATTTAGATAATATTAAACTCCCACCAAGGATAATTTGTTTTACAACAAATATGAAGAACAGCAACAATCTAGTCAAAAAACTAGACCATTGGATGAGATTTGCTTTGACAATTACAAAAGGAAATCCATTGGCTTTGAAGATTTGCTTAGAAGTCCAGAACCTAACGAAAAGAAACCTTTTTCTTTAACTTAACATAGACCAAGTTCAGCTGTAAGGACATCCCCTGATCTCATTCGAAAAAAGAATTTGTTGTCTGATGCAAGTAATATTTTATAGTTCTTTATATTTTAGTCCATGGAAATAAGAAGGATGGTTTGGCTGCCTTGGCTTAGGAATTGAATCAGGGAGATTGGCAAAGTAAAAAACTGGATTTTGAAAACAAATACTCAAAACCAGTCAGTTAACAAAACAATGTCAAATCATTTCTTACTCCAACTCGTCCATCATAATTGAATCAGCATCAAAGTAAATTGGATGAATTGCTTAATTCTTTCAATAGAAAATCCATACTCTGATATATATATGAATATATCCTATTAATCTTTATTCATTATTATTTTTAATGAACTCCCTGTCCAAGCGTATTAGAAAGATCAAGAAAACCCCTAAGGTGACCTAATTTGAAGATTCCGATGATCCTCAATAATTCACAGCGTGCATCGCAAACCTCAATTAAATTGTGGCTGAAGATCAATGTTTCTCTAGTTTCACTATTTTCTAGTCAAACAAATCGTAACCAAGGAGTTATTGGTTAGATTGATGGAATACTTGCGACACAACAATCCCTAAGTGGTTATCAATGCTCTCAATGCAATCCAAAATGTATTACGTATTAGTGATAATTTTGGTTCTGAAGTCAGAGATCAATTCAAAGACCTAGGCTTATTGGGCATCTTATTATTATTCCCCATCCAAGAGAACACCTTGTCAAGTTACTTGAACTTGGCAATTGAAATTTTTGAAACTTGGGACATAACCTTGTTAATGCCACTTTATTAAAGAATTTTGCCAATTTTAGATACTTGTCTACAGAAAGTTTATAATGAAGATATCATATCAGAAGCATTAAACTTGTTACAAGTACTAACCGAGATACCTTAATTTAATTTAAAGAAGATAAATGTAGACTAAATATTCTAACATGACATTATTAAATAATTACATTTTGCCAACCAAATGAAACTAAAAGCACTGACTCTTCAAACATACTTGAACATCGATAGATTAGACAATGAAATGTTTTCATTAATTAATGAAGTCATCAGAATCAACATCTTCTAAGAATTGGACAATATCGAATCATTTCTATAGAAGCAAGTGACTATGGAGGAAGAATCTGAATTTAAATAAGATGAAAGACTACTTAGTACACTTCAAATTTGGAAATGCTCAGCTCAATCTATCATCTAAGTATTGGTTTATTTAAATCGAATTTATGAGGAAGATAATGATGATCAATATGTGAATAATTAAAAATTCTAATAGTTCTTCTAAAAGAATATCATAGTTGAATTAGAAGAATTAGTATTAAAGAATTTCTTCAATTACTCTGGAGTCATTCAAAAAAAATTATTTACTGATCAAACCACTTTCACCGACGAATTATTGAGTCTAACTCTATTGATTTTTAAGTAATTATATTAACTATATTTTTTAGTTTAGGAAATAATTTATTAGCCAATCTCTAACCATTAGTTTGTTTATAAACATTAGAGCCTATTCTACCCTAAATTTAAGCAATACTTCAAGTAGATATAATCGCAGATGAGGATAAAAAAGAACTTGCTTAATCTGAATTTTTACTGTTGATAAAGTTATTAAAGGTGAACCCACAACTGGTGATGCAAATTCCTCCTTAATTTATTGTACATTTGTGTGAATTGACTGATACTACTGATATATTATTTCACATCATAGAAGTCATGAAAATTAGGTATTCAAGCAAAGTCAAAAATGATATTGAAACCATACGCTTAGTTACATAAAAGTTACTTAAGTTAATGAACTAATCCAACATTATGTTGGCTGCTTAGGCTTTGGATTGTCTTTTTGACGTGTATACAGAGGAAGACTTCAATGCTCTTTTAGTGGAAATGCAGATTCTTGAATTGTTATCGTAGGGATACTAATATTTATAATCGCAATTGCCACAAGAGAAGAAGACTTTAGCAAAGGATGATTGGAAGTTCTTGAAACTGACAGTTACCAATTTAAAGTAGTTTATTGAATACAAAATAAAAATCATAAAGTGATTTCATGTGTATATTAATTAATATAAACATTGCATATTAAAGTTAACAAATTAAAATTCAAATGTTACTCACTATTTTTTGTTGCCATCAATGAATTTGCCCAACAATTCTTGAATGCCATAATCACTCCATTCTCTTTCCTTTTCCAATTTGGGTAGTGATTCTGGGAGATCCAAATTGACATTGTCTTTTTTGTCTGAAACGTAGATGTTGACATCCTTCAGAACATCCTTCCTCCACTTTGTATCAACCTTGTAACTCAATTGAGGATTGAGCATATTGAAGGAGAAAACTCCATCTCTTCTTTGTGATGAATTCATAATTTAAATTTATAATTAAGAGTTTATACATCAATGTGAACAATTAAATTATGAACTGATTAACTAAGAATTTTAGTTTATAAATTAATTCATTATAAAATGAGCTGTAAAATTGTATTCACATCAAATTTGAATTCGAGTTCTTTGCTAATTTCAGGCAATGGATACTCATCCTCGAAATCGAATTGCACATTGTAATTCTGCAGTTTCCTCCTCAATTTAAGGACCTTTTTGGAGACAATGACTTATTATTTGGGAAATCTCTCGATGGGAGCCTCGTAACCTTTGGTTTTGGCTCCAGGGATGGCAGCAGCAATGAGATCATCGAAGGTGTTCTTGTTTTTGTCGAGTTTGAGTACGATCCAAATCATCTATTGGAAGAGGACATCCTTCTGGTATTGGTTGACCAATTTATCGTATTTATCCTGATAACGATAGGGTTCGTAATCCTGTAGGAGGATGGCGACCCATTCGCTGTAGTTGTATAGATCTTTCTCTTCGGAAACACTTAAGTATAAATCATCATCATTTGAGTTCATATATGATTATTTAATTTGTACACATAGGAATATTAAATTATTGTGGATATAATCATTTCAGTAACAACTCTTTGGCTTCATTGATTTTAGTGGCCACATATGTGGATCCTCCTTGATCTGGATGATTGAGCATCAACAATGTGCGATGTCGAGTCTTGATTTGGTCTAGCGGGGTGCCTTCTCTGACTCCGAGAATCAATTGGGCTTCTCTCCTGGTGAGTTGAGTGGAGAAGGTTCCCTTGTAGAAGGCCCTTGAGGTTTCCACAGTCTTGAAAAACTCCTTGCTCTTGATTTGTCTGTAGGTGCGAATGAGTAGTTTTGTTCCTCCTCCCACTACGATTAGGCCACAACCTATGGCGAATAGAGCAGATGACATAAATTTAATTTTATTTATGATTACCAATTCAATTTATAATTAATGAATGTTTCTCTCAAAGACATAATTCCAAACAAAAACCCATCATAATTCAATCTAAACAAAATTCGGTTTAAAATCTCCAAAAAAGTGGAATCCTACTGTCAATGCAATCAAAGAAACTGTCTGATTTGTGCTCGTAAACGTTCTTCTTCGATGTTAAGCATGAAAAACTCGATTGTGTATGATGAGAATTCTCCTGTTTCCAAATGCACTGTCGAACAACCAAAACCAATCCAGCCATTCAATCGATCCATCTCCAGACAATAATCCAATTACATGGGGAGAGTCTCAGTCAATGTCTCAGCTTCCACTAATTCAACAAACAATTATGGCAGAACCAGGAAAACCTCGGTCGAGTCCTCCCCTCCCAAAGACAATAGTATGATATTCGCTAATCCCCTATTTAGTTATTGGCAAGCACTCCTTTAAATACCTCTACGTAATTGGGAAAGGAGGCTTCGGAAAAGTGTGGAGAGTCGAGATGAAAGCCAATAAACAGGAGTTCGCATTGAAAGAAATGATTAAAGCAAAGTATACCAAGCATACATTAAATAAGGATCATATCC